TGCTTTAATTTCCAAGAATCTCGGCAACTGTTTACTTAGTTTGAGAAACTAACACCATGGACCAAATGGCAAAATGTTCAACGTTTAGCAGGAGTCAGCGAGCATTGAAAACCTCTGCCCCTAGGGAACACAGGAAACTAAGCGACTGGGTAGCCATTTCAGGTGCAGAGCTCATTAGCAATTCATTTAATGGAGAAAACAACCTTTGAAAGATCTTGAGTGCATTTTGCATCCAAGAGCCTTGAATGAATTAATCAATCTGATGGACATCTCTACCCCACCCAACGTAGAAAGTAATTTTATAAAAAGAATGCAAAGGAATTCAGATTACTCCCCACATTCCTTTCTTAATCATCAAGCCCAGCCCCTTGTATTTTTTTTTTAACAAATATGCCCCACTGAGGCCTCATAGATATTCTAGCAGCCATTCTCAACAGAGCATGAAGAAAGATCAAAGCAAATGAACTCAAGTGGCAGAAGCAAAGCTGAAGCTGAAGGGCAGTCACAAGCCAAAAAGTATAGAGCTTGAATACCAGGGGAGAAATGTCAACAAACCTACGCGGCTTCCACTCTCACAAAATGCACTCAAGTTTACAGCGAATTACGTATCTGGACGAGCACGTTTATCAAGAAAACCTTCTGCTTGCCAACCGATTACATTTCAGAAGAATCCTTATTTTTCATAGCCTTAACTCACCAGGGAAGTTAGAGGTGCTATCAGAATGAGGAAATAAGAAGCTTACAGAAGCTCAAAAGCAGTATTTTGCCGCCATGTTCACACACACACACACACACACACACACCTTCATCATCATCACCATCATGATCCCGACTGCACGTTAAACTACTACTAAACAACTTGAATCACAGGATACATCGGGTCATGTATTCGAAAGTGACCAAGCTCCAACACAAAGTTTCAAAACAAAACCTCCTGGTAGGCTGGAGGCGTAGACGAGCAACAAAACAAACCAACCCAAGCCCTCAGCAGCTTCTTTCGGCTGCCAAGACAAATCTAAAACTTATCAGAAACAGCCACAACTGCAGCTCCTGTCACCCAGAAGCAGAGTCCAGAGAGTCGCGGGAGCGGGCCTTTCTGGAGACGCCAGGCCGAGCTCGGCTCAGACGAGGAGGAAGTAACTGCCAGATAAAAAGCCCGGAGCAGCTCCCACTGCAGCTCGTGCCTCCCACAACTGCCCACACTGCCGCCCCGTGCGGGGCTCAGCGAGGACGGCAACTGGGTGCAGGTCTCCCTTGAGAGGCTAAACACCACAGGTCCGCGTCTTTCAGGGGGCAGTGGTGTAGCGCCAACCCGACTCCGAAGGGTTCCGGAGCCCAGTGTTCGGGTGCAGCTTGGAACGCGTGTTGGGGGGGGGATGGGGGGGAGTGCCGAGACAGGGGTCGCCTAGGAGGCGGGGCCTGGCGGCTAAAAGCGGCAGCTTTGGGCGCCCCGGCTGCCCCCTGAGGGGAACTGGGATGCGCACCACGACGCGGAAGCCATGCTGACCAGAGCTCTGTGTGCTTGGGGGCCGGCGGGGGGCGCTGAGGAGATCGGGGGGCACTGAACTGGGGTACCCCCACCCT